ACCGTGACACTCATCGCATAAAGATTCTTTTGTCTTCACTGCTGTTGAAGCTGGTGTTGGATGAATGGTATGGGCCCTCGGAGCGGCTCAGGGGCCCCTAACGCCATCACAGGGGCCCCTAACTCCATCACACACAGATGGAGCACGGCTGTAACCTGATCACTGCTCTGTTCGACCTGGGGCCAATTCAATTCATTCTCCTCCCACCGTCAAGAGGCATCTCCATCTGCTCTGTAAGAGGAGTCCTGGGTCTACAGCCTCAGTCCTGGGTCTACAGCCTCAGACCTGGATTTACTGTGACACAGCAAGAAGGTCTTGGGTTCGATTCCACATCCAGCCTTTCTGTGTGGATTATGCATGTTCTCCGTTCAGGTTCTGTGCAGGTTTCCTCCGGGTGCTCCACCACTAAAAACATGTATAACAGGTCTGAATGTAATGAATGAGTGAGTGAGTGTCAGCCTGTCCTTTGTGGGAGCAGACCCCTCTCTCAATGTGGATCTCCCCGAGGTTTCTCACTCTTATCCCGCTGGGTTTTAGAGTTTTTCCTCTGATGCAGCACTTTAAAATTATTACATGTATGACATTTATCAACATTCATGGACATGGACTCTCCCTATGGTCCAATACCATGTGTTCTTTTTCTCTGATCTGTGTTGGTGATTTCAACGGTTTTGTTAAGTCCTCTGAGATAACTACTGTTGTGATTTAGGGCTAGATAAGAATTAACAGAATATTGGAATTGAATTGAAGTATTATGCAATTCTGTTGTATTTGTATATGTTTTTATGAATTGTTTTACACCGTGCCTCAGGACAACAGATGGAAACTAAATCAAATCAGATCAATTTTATTTGTATCGCTCGAAATCACAACAACAGTCGTCTCGAGGGGCGTCTCAAAACCGCCAGCTCCCAACGGCTGTGGACCAGTCCTCAGGTCCAGGGAGTCCGGGTTTTGAGTCCCACCAGCGCGTCCATGAAACAGACAGAGGGACGACAGGTGAACAGCAATGCACAAACAAAATTTAAGAATTTATGACAAAACAAGGACTATTTATCCTGCAGTCTGTGGATGTGACGGGTTAAAAACAGACTAAAATAGACAGTTCGGACTAGCCGTGTCGCTAACACTGACACATTCACAGCAATGTCGATGAATGTGGACTGTCCCTATTCAAATGAACTAATACATAAATGTACTAACTGCACTGCTGTGGAGTATAACACGGTGGATGTTGGAGGATTATTAATGTGTGGACTCTGCGCCAATGCAAGCTCTGTTAAAATGTATGTTTTTATTCTGTTTTCCTGTATTTAACCTCGTGGCCCTAACCCCGAGGGGCACAGATGGAAATGATCCTTTTGCTTCAATCTGGGGTGTTTACAATTACGTCTGTTCATTTACAGGCTCTGTCCCATTCACATAAATAAATACAGATTGGAGGCTTTGATTCTCCGGTGTGTTCTGCGTCTCGCTTCCAGAGACCTTGGACTGTAAAATACACCACAGAAATAAATATTACTTAATTACTTGATTACCTGACGTTTGTTGATTTCTGATTTGAAAAGAACATTAAAGCCTCATACTGACATTACTTCAGTTAAATGCATTGATACCACTGCCTCCATTAGATTACACCACGCTGGATTAAGCATTTGTTTTTTTGGACACTCAAAGACGCTTTACATGTGTCATTATTCTTTCTCTCCAAACACGGTGGTGATAAACTACGACTGTAGCCACAGCTGCCCTGGGGCACTCTGACAGAAGCGAGGCAACCAATCTGAGCCATCGGCCCCTCCGACCACCACCAACCATTCACACACACACCAGACTCATTCTAGGCAATGGGGGTGAAGTGTCTTGCCTAAGGACACAACCACAGTTTGGCACTTTACAGCCGCAGCCACCCCACTGTGGCACCTGCTGTTCCCAGAGGTTAAGTGTCTTGCCCAAGGCCATAACAACAACAGCAGACAGTGGGAGTCAATGGTGAAAGTCTTGAGGGGGGCTTGAACCCATGACCTTCTGGCTCAAAGGCCAATGCTCTACTGTCGACCAAAAAGAGAATTTTGATCAAATTGTCTAAAATTGGAGAAATGTGTTTTTGGGTGAAAATATGTGAATTTGACCCAAAGACGAAGAATGTGTGAGTGTAACTGCACTTTGAAATCTGCAACAAATCTGCATTTCTGCGACTGACACTTCACCAAATACTGTTTACCGTGAAACTGGACTTACTCAAAAACTAAAAGAAAGACTGCAGTGGAGCTATCGTGGCCTACAGGGGAAAGACAGATCCCTCAGACCTCTGAAGCTAAGCAGGGCATGGCCTGGTCTCTCCCTCTGGTCCCTCTCTCTTGTCTTTCTCTCTGGTCTCTCTCTCTACCGTCTCTCTCCGGTCTCTGTCCGGTCTCTCTCTAGTCTCTCCGGTCTCTCTCTCTGGTCTCTCTCTGGTCTCCCTCTGGTCTCTCTGTTCTCTCTCTGTTCTCTCTCCGGTATCTCTCTCTGTTCTCTCTCTCTCCCTGGTCTCTCTCTGCTTTCTGGTCTCTCTCTTGTGTTCCCATAGCCCTCAGTCCTGCCTTCAGTGTCCTCTGATGCCGCTTTTTACAGTGTACGCACCGCTTTTGACAGCTACAGCAGCCCAGACCTATAACCAACAGGTTTTGACTTCATCAGTAGTGAGTTCAGGATGTTGAGGAGGAGCGAGAGATTTTATACTTGCTTTTTTTACGCTAAAGGTAGAGATTTGATTTGATTTGAGAATAGAGTTTTATTCACTGAAAAACAAACAAACCATCTTTACATTCTTAAAACAGACAGCTTCTACTTCATGTGATGTAGAACTCAGCCCTCGCCATAACCTGGGGCCATACGCTGCCTTCACTGTGTGTGTAAGTGCAGTTTGTACAGTTCTTTCTTGTTTGTTTTTGTAAATGTCGTGACTTTTTAACGTCACTTTGTCTCCGCAGATGAAAGACACCAAAGCCTGCTGTCTTGAAACTGTTCTCTAAGTGCTTTGTCGTTGGGTAACTCTGAACCATCAAAGCTTGGTGGCTGAGCGGCTGTTTAATAAGTATTATCCAAGTATGTGTTTGAACTCTACCACTGTGGCTTTATCAGTCAGACCGCTCCCTCTTCCTTCCCATGAGCCTTTGCAACAGGAGTCTCAGAGCTGCCTGCACTCACTCATATGAAGGTCCAAGGGAAGGGGGAGAGGACCAATGTCTATAAATGTGGTTGAATAGAGAGAGAGAGAGAGAGAGAGGGGAAGAGAGACCAGAGAGAGAGAGACCAGAGAGAGGGGGAGAGAGACCAGAGAGAGGGGGGGGGGGGAGAGACCAGAGAGAGAGAGAGAGAGAGAGAGAGAGAGAGAGAGAGAGAGGGAGAGAGACTAGAGAGCAAGACCAGAGAGGGACTGCAGTTTCTCCTTTGAATAAATGAACAAATGCTTTTGGACATGTATCAGTTACTTTCACACAATTTTTTGCAGTTTTATAACATTATCATTTGTGTTGCTTTCAAGGGAAGAAGCTGTGATGGAGATGAAAATATGTGACAAACCAGTGTGGGCAGGTCCCGGCTCCAAAAGGTCCAGGACTGAGGCCATGCTGCAATCTCACTCCAGGCCTGTGGGGTTTTACCCGGAAAGAGAATTCCCCAATGCTTTTGTTTTGCCGTCTAAATTTCATCTGGAAAACGTCTTTACTTGATGGTCTAAAAGTGGCTCTTGGTCCAAAAGTGGCTCTTGGTCTAAAAGTGGCTCTTGGTCCGAAAGTGGCTCTTGGTCTAAAAGTTGTTCTTGGTCCAAAAGTGGCTCTTGGTCCGAAAGTGGCTCTTGGTCCTAAAGTGCCTCTTGGTCCAAAAATGGCTCTTGGTCCAAAAGTGGCTCTTGGTCCAAAAGTGGTTCTTGGTCCAAAAGTGGTTCTGGGTCCAAAAGTGGCTCTTGGTCCAAAAGTGGCTCTTGGTCCAAAAGTGGCTCTTGGTCTAAAAGTGGCTCTTTGTCCAAAAGTGGCTCTTGGTCCAAAAGTGGTTCTTGGTCCAAAAGTGGCTCTTGGTCCAAAAGTGGCTCTTGGTCCAAAAGTGGCTCTTGGTCCAAAAGTGGTTCTTGGTCCAAAAGTGGTTCTGGGTCCAAAAGTGGCTCTTGGTCCAAAAGTGACTCTTGGTCCAAAAGTGACTCTTGGTCCAAAAGTGACTCTTGGTCCAAAAGTGGCTCTTGCTCCAAAAGTGGCTCTTGGTCTAAAAGTGGCTCTCGGTCCAAAAGTGGCTCTTGGTCCAAAAGTGGCTCTTGGTCCAGATGCCGTCGATGCTGAGCGGAGCATATAAATGTTTTTGGACCAGTCTAGTTTAGCTGCTGTGGACTTTTGAAGGCACTCAATACATTTTCCTCAGTTTCTTTGGTGCATTTCTCAGAACAATTAGTGCAAACTGCAAAAAAGTCTCTGTGTCACTGAAACTGTCTGTCTCAAAATAATTTGTAGTCAGTACTAATTGTTTGGAGAAATGCACAATGAACTGTTAAAGTGTGATGGATGGTAGGAAGGTCAGTAGGTAGATGGATCTATACTTCATCGATTTCCCGCAGGAGAAATTCAGGTGTCCAAGAGAGAGAGAGAGATTTATGGACGTCGGTCTCTGCTCCTCACGGACCAATGGCTCTATGTGTTTTTAACATTGCATTTCTTGTGTTTGAACTGCTTGATTCTGATCTGTGTTGGAGAATTCAGTGATTTTGTAAAGTCCTACATGAAAACTACTGTTGTGATTTAGGGCTGTACAAAAAGACATTGAATTAAAAGAAATCCCCAAACAAACAAATAAAAACGTAATTCTAAAAGTTACTAACAATATTAATAAAGTGCAACTACAGCAGAGGTGGTGTAGCCTCTGGGTGGAACTGCTTCTACTCCTCTGGTTGATGGGTGGTGGTGTTGATGCCGGTGGAGGTGGCGGTGGTGGTGGTGGCAGGCAGGTGGTGGTGTTGGTGGTCATGTAGGTGGTCATGTAGGTGGTGGTGTTGGTGTAGGTGGTGGTGGTGATGGTGTTGGTGGTGAAGGTGGTGTTGCTGATGGTGGTGGTGATGGTGTTGGTGGTGTAGGTGGTGGTGGTGTTGGTTGTGTTGTAGGTGGTGATGGTGTTGATGGTGTAGGTGGTGATGGTGTTGGTGGTGTAGGTGGTGGTGTTGATGCCGGTGGCGGGCAGGTGGTGGTCATGTAGGTGGTGGTGGTCGTGTAGGTGGTAGTGATGGTGGTGGTGGTAGTGGTGGTGGTGGTGTAGGTGGTGGTGGTGTTGGTGGTGTAAGTGGTGGTGGTGTTGCTGATGGTGTTGGTGGTGTAGATGGTGGTGGTGTTGGTGGTGTAGGTGGTGATGCTGATGGTGGTGGTGTAGGTGGTGGTGGTGTTGCTGATGGTGTAGATGGTGGTGGTGTTGGTGGTGTAGGTGTTGGTGGTGTTGGTGGTGTTTCTGATGGTGGTGGTGTAGGTGGTGGTGGTGTTGGTGGTGTAGGTGGTGGTGTTGTAGGTGGTGTTTCTGATGGTGGTGGTGTAGGCGGTGGTGGTGTTGGTGGTGTGGGTGGTGGTGGTGTTGGTGGTGTAGATGGTGGTGGTGTTGGTGGTGTAGGTGGTGGTGGTGTAGGTGGTGTTTCTGATGGTGGTGGTGTAGGTGGTGGTGGTGTAAGTGATGGTGGTGTTGCTGATGGTGTTGGTGGTGTAGATGGTGGTGGTGTTGGTGGTGTAGGTGGTGCTGGTGTTGGTGGTGTAGGTGGTGTTTCTGATGGTGGTGGTGTAGGTGGTGGTGGTAGCACAGATTGGCAGCCTTGCTTCTGCCAGACTGCCCCGGTGGCTGTGGCTACACTAGAAGCTTGCAGCTCCTGTATATGGACTGAATGAATAAAACATGACGCTAATGAATAATGCTGTTCAGGCTTTTGGCGAGTTGGATAAAACACATGTTACTTAATGGATGAGAGAATTCCCGACGCCTCACAACACCGGCTCGGCCACGGAGAGACGCCAAACAACACCTGCCCGGCCACGGAGAGACGCCTCATGACACCAGCCCGGCCACGGAGAGACGCCTCACGACACCGGCCCGGCCATGGAGAGACGCCTAACAACACCGGCCCGGCCACGGAGAGACGCCAAACAACACCTGCCCGGCCACGGAGAGACGCCTCATGACACCAGCCCGGCCACGGAGAGACGCCTCACGACACCGGCCCGGCCATGGAGAGACGCCTAACAACACCGGCCCGGCCACGGAGAGACGCCAAACAACACCTGCCCGGCCACGGAGAGACGCCTCATGACACCAGCTCGGCCACGGAGAGACGCCTCACGACACCGGCCCGGCCAGGGAGAGACGCCTAACAACACCGGCCCGGCCACGGAGAGACGCCAAACAACACCTGCCCGGCCACGGAGAGACGCCTCATGACACCAGCTCGGCCACGGAGAGACGTCTATCGACACCGGCCCGAGACGCCTCATGACACCGGCCCGGCCACGGAGAGACGCCAAACAACACTGGCCCGGCCACGGAGAGACGCCTATCGACACCGGCCCGAGACGCCTCATGACACCGGCCCGGCCACGGAGAGACGCCAAACAACACTGGCCCGGCCACGGAGAGACGCCTATCGACACCGGCCCGGCCCCGGAGAGACGCCAAACAACACCTGCCCGGCCACGGAGAGACGCCTCACGACACCGGCCCGGCCACGGAGAGACGCCTCATGACACCAGCCCGGCCACGGAGAGACGCCTATCGACACCGGCCCGAGACGCCTCATGACACCGGCCCGGCCACGGAGAGACGCCAAACAACACTGGCCCGGCCACGGAGAGACGCCCATCGACACCGGCCCGGCCCCGGAGAGACGCCAAACAACACCTGCCCGGCCACGGAGAGACGCCTCACGACACCGGCCCGGCCATGGAGAGACGCCAAACAACACCGGCCCGGCCACGGAGAGACGCCTATCGACACCGGCCCGAGACGCCTCATGACACCGGCCCGGCCACGGAGAGACGCCAAACAACACTGGCCCGGCCACGGAGAGACGCCTATCGACACCGGCCCGGCCCCGGAGAGACGCCTCTTGACACCAGCCCGGCCACGGAGAGACGCCTCACGACAGCGGCCCGGTCACGAACGAACACTGGTCCAGACCAGAGCAGAGAGGATTCATGGTTTTACACTGGTCCAGACCAGAGCAGAGAGGATTCATGGTTTTACACTGGTCCAGACCAGAGCAGAGAGGATTCATGGTTTTACACTGGTCCAGACCGGAGCGGAGAGGATTCATGGTTTTACACTGGTCCAGACCAGAGCAGAGAGGATTCATGGTTTTACACTGGTCCAGACCAGAGCAGAGAGGATTCATGGTTTTACACTGGTCCAGACCAGAGCAGAGAGGATTCATGGTCCGAATCAAAAGGATAAGCCAAAAATCCACTGGAGGAATGCTGACTTTTTGAAAAAAGCGAATGAAGCATTTAGCATTTCACTTTGGACCAGAGCAGAGAAAATGGTCCGAACGAAGCGGCTCCACCTCTGCTGCTGTGACCTGAAGGACTTTTTTTATTACTATTGTTAGCGGTTTAGAATAATCAATTTATTTGTTTTGTTTGGATGGATGTGTTTCTGTTGCTACTGGACACCTGCATTTCTCCAACAGGATCAATAAAGTATCTATCTATATAAGTGGTCCTTTGTGCTTTTACTGCAAATGGCAAAGAAACTGAATTTTGAATCTTGATAAATACATATTTTTAAAAAGGCTTTCAATAGATAAAAATATGTGTTTGGACCCAAGTCTGAATGTGGATGTTTGAGTCGGACCCGCTGCCTCTGGACTCACCTGAACCCTGCTCGTCCCGGTCCCTCAGACGCTGGAATGATAATCACGGTCGTGTTTGTTGTGGTGTTGTCGCTGCACAGACTTGTCGCGTTGGCCACTTCAGATCTGCATTTCCATTCTCGCTCCCGTTTCCCACTGCACTTACGCAGCGCAGACAAAAGCAGTGATTTGTGAGAGCTGAGGGAAAACAGGAGAGATGTGGCCAAGTCTGAAGAACAGCGGGAACCAGAGGAGACCGCGACCGAGCGTGATCACGAGTCTGCGGCGAGATTTAAGACACGGCAAGACCGGATTTTCACCGTACATTCAGGAGAGACACGATGCAGCGGAACACAACTGTTTTCACCTGATTCAAACATGGTCAGAGAAGAAGACTGTCTCACATGTTCAGTTTCAGATTTTATTTTTATGAATCTAAAACACTGCCTCCCCATGTTTAGTTCCATGTTTAATCCTGGGACCAGCAGGAGGCCAGTCCCTGTGCTCCTCAGAGTCCCAGCAGGAGGCCAGTCCCTGTGCTCCTCAGAGTCCCAGCAGGAGGCCAGTCCCTGTGCTCCTCAGAGTCACATGGAGAGACTTGTAACAAACAGAGCTGCTTTAAAGTCTATTCTCTGAGCCACAGGTGCAGAGACCTGAGACCAGGACTAATGTGATGGTACTTCCTGGTTCTTGTCAGGACTAATGTGGTGGTACTTCCTGGTTCTAGTCAGGACCGGAGTTGCAGTGTTTTACAATTGGTCTGGAGAGACCTGTGGGTCGCTGTTTCTGTTTAACGACTTAAGACCAATGCAGGACAAAACTATTATTATTTTTATTGTGGTTTTGAGTGTTTTTCAGATGGTAAATGCTTAAAGTAGATTCAAACAGTTTTTACTTTTAACTGTGTACCCTTGGTAAGGTGACCTTGAGAGGCTCCATATAAATTAAACGTATTATTATTATTAAATTCTGCTGGTGTTACTGAGATGTGGCTGATTTAAGTCTAAATAAAGTACCACAATTTCAAGGTACAAATAATAGACCTATTACGCTCTGTCCATGTGTTTGAAATGAGTTGAATGAAGGAGATGCAGACTGTGATTCTTGACCAAAAGGACGTTACTGTCTCTGGGACACACGCCCACAGCCCATTCTCTAAATGCTGCACAGGTGACACAGGCACAGTCTGTACGGCCCCTCCCCCCACCACCAACCATTCACACACACACACACACACGCACGCACACACACACGCACACACACACGCACACACACACGCACACACACACGCACACACACACGAGCACGCGCACACCTAAGGACACAACCACAGTTTTTGCACTTTACAGCTGCCCCATCACAGTACTAACCAGGCCCTGCCCTGCTTAGCCTCAGAGTTTTTATGGGATCTGGCTTTTGCATGCAAGTTAAATCTGTGTTAAAGAAGCTATACCCAATTTATTTCTAATGAGTTCATAAAAATGCTTATTACTACATACAAATTGAATTATAATCTGTAATTGAATTGATAACTTGAGCTCATTGATTCAGCTTGTGTAGGAATTCAGGCCGTAAAAACTGCTGAGTAAAAACTTAGCATTGTACAGCTTACAAGAAGTTGTGCTAATGCTAATGTTAGCATATGTATCGGATCACAAATAAAACTAGATGGCTCCGTGACGGGAGAGCGTAGGGGAAATGAGAAGCCTGTGAGCGAGTTGGGGGCGGGGCTAAACATTCAAACCTTGCAGAAACGGGTATAGCTCCTTTAAAACCAGATTTTCCAATGGAACAAAACAAGTTAAGTCTTATTTCTAGAACTGTTGCTTTATTTTCTGTATCTTTTTTATCATGCTTTGTCCCGTTGGCAAATCTTGTTTTAAGGCTCAGTCAGAATGTGCTCAACCTTTTTCACCCCTTTTTACAGTGTATCTACACCGGCAGCTCAGTACCACCACAGTATGTCCCAGGGCAGCTGTGGTTGCAGTAGTAGTTCATCACCACCGTGTTTGGAGTGTATCTACACTGTAAAAATGCACCATGCACCCGTCCTCTCTATGACATACTCTATCCATTCTACACGTCTACTTATGTTGCTCTCATTTGCAGCTCGAGCCCAGGACACTGACACACACAATACGGCATTCTGGGGGATTTCTCTGGACCCCCCTTTCTCTCTGCTGAGGAGGAGGAAGAGGAGGAGGGTAATTCATCAATAATGTGAAGCTGACCTCTCCACCCACCCCCTCTGCTGCTCCCTCGCCCTCTTTCTTCTCTCAGTTTGGGCGTGACGATGGCTGTTATGAACCAAAACATTATCTTAAACTGATTAAACTAGTCCTGCACCTGCGTCGGTGGATTATCAACTCCATCTCAGCCTTTCCCCAAAAACATGTGCAGCAATTTGGAGTTTTTTGTGGTTCTGAAACGTGTAAACAAAAAGCCACCTCCGTGTTTTCCGCATTTGTCGCAGCCCGAAGCAATTTATTATCAGCAGTGACAGTTGTTATTGTCGCTGAAGAGAGACGATAGAAATATGTTCTGGATTAACTCATTCACTGCCCATGACGACAAAACTCGTCATGTTGAATAGTGACGCTCACTGCCCATGACGAGTATGACGAGTTTTCCGTGTTATTACACGGGAGGCTGCAGTAATGTCTGGCGCACCTTGTGAATGACCCACAATACTGATATATAGTGCAAATGTACCTGTAATGATAAATCACCACCAGTAGGATGCAGTATTGCACCACAGGAGAGGTCATAAGTCAGTGGAGAGAAGGAGGAGGAGTGTGGGGTCTTTGGACAGCGTGCTGCTGTAGCAGAGCGACGATAGCGTAGTATTGAGACGGATCAGCGATCTAGTTTAGCGATAGTATAGCAAGAGTGATGGCGAAAAAGAATAGTTATAAGCAGCTGACACTGCTTCAGGGATTTACTCGCGGATCAGTGAGTGGGGTCGAGAGGGGAGAGAGCGGAGACCCCGGTGGAGGTCCGTCTTTGCAGCCATATTTGCGTGGAGCAAGAGCCCCGAGCAGAGACACACCTTCCGCCTCTCGCAGCGTATCAGCTGCTGTTGTTACTGATGCCTCAGATTCGTTCAGAGAACCTGATCATGATTTATCGGACACACTCACGCACACAGACACTCACTCGCACACTGACATTCACACACACACACTCAAATTCACATGCTTCATTCTATTTTATACATCTATAGTTTTATTGATCTTTGTGTTGTTGTTGTTTGACGTTTTGGTTGATGGTATAGAAGAAAGTTAAATTTTCTATCTGTGAATAAATTGCCAACAATTTTCCATCAAAAGTATTATTTCAGAGTCATGTTTTTATAATTTTTGTAATGGAACAAGTGTGAAGATGTTTTGAGTTGTCACTAAAGCAGCAAAAATGCATCTAAAAGTCTCTTTTCTGCTTGATATGTTCCTGTTTACATACAGCTCGTTTCCTCTGTTTTCTTGCTCAGACCAGGTGTTATGGGTGAAAGTATGCTTTGTTCTATGGCAAATAACGCAAGAACGGTAAGAGGTAGAAACAAACTGTTTTTTTCAGAGTAAAGCAGAGAGGTTAATCTTTAATTTGGTGCCCTTGGTGTTTACATCGTCTAAAAAATGAATATTCTGTGGCACTTCAAAGTTGGGTCAAATCACCTGAAATTGCTGGCAGAATGCACTTCTCAAATCTGAAAATGCCTGGCAGTCAGTGAGTTAAGAGAGTATAAACAGTCGTAATTATCAAATGGTCTCAAGCAATTAAAAATCCATCTAATGATTAAGATCTACTTTATCTGTCGTCCAGCGAGGGTCACTCAGACTGAGCCAGAGACGGAGCCATCAGGAACTAACGACAAAAGCAGTTTGTAGTTTGCACTCGAGCCACAAAGAAAATGAGGGAACCTGAATTTGGGTCTGGAACATATGCTGTAAATATTTACGTAGTCACGCCTATCTCCGCCGATCAAACCAATGTGCCATCACTTTTGGCTTTTCAAAATGGCCACGGGGCTGGGAAATGTGTAAAAAATGGCACTGCCCCATTCATTTGACGAGTGCCTTTAAAAGTCCACAGCGGCTAAACTAGACTGGTCCAAAAAAATTTACTCCCCTCAACATCGGCAGCATCTGGAACGTAGCTTTGGACCAAGAACAACTTTTGGACCAAGAACAACTTTTGGACCATCCTGTAAAGAGGTTTTCAAGAGGAAAGAAGACTAAAGCATTGAGTAATTCTCTTTCCGGGTACACCCCCACCATCCCGGACTGGTATTGCAAGTATGTCAGCGCACGTTTTTGAGCCACTGGTCCAAAGCCGATATCAAAACGTGCTTTACACTGGAACTTCAGTCAATTTGACAGCCTTTTGTTTTGGAGCCGTGACTCCACTTATTTTCGGTTTTCCAAACTTTTGGATTTTTTTTCTGTATCGGTGTGTAGTTTAATTCTACGTGATTATTGTTGAATTTTGTTGAATATTTTGAATTGTGAGTAGTTCTACCTTTAACTACAATCGTAGCCAGTTTCGGACACTTGGCCATCAACATTCTGGGGCAGTTAAAGACCGAGGTTCTGGTTCTGGACTGGTTCAGGGCAGCTTGGAGCAAGTGCTAGTTACACTTATGTTACCCACAGATCCATGAAATTATCTTTTATTTCTAGAGTTCTACTTTTTGCTCCATCCATTTAGAGCCATTGTCAGTCACTTTCTTTGTACAGCTTTTTATTCAAGGAAGTGGTTCTGGACCGGCCCTGGACTAGTTTTGGACTGGCTCTGGTCCTGGACTTGTTCTTGTACCAGTTGTTCTTCCACCAGAGCAGAGCAAGTGCTGGTTACCATAGCAACACATTGTTTACTGTTAGCAGTTAGCATTCGGTTTGCCTTTCAAATAAATGTTTTAGCTGTAATTCAAGATATATTTACTTTTGTCTGCGTTTATTAAAACCTTAAATGACTTTAGAGGTGAAACTGGTGAAAAACTAAAAATGTTTGGGGTTTGAGTGGGAGCAGTCAAAATGACGGCTCTAAGTGTTCCAGTAGTTCCATGACTGTGGGAGTCCAAGGGTTAAAGGAGATGTTTCTTCCCATTACAGATGTAATGTTTGCATCACTGCTCCACCGTGGACCGTCTGTGTCTGTAGCACGCTAGCAGCCAACGCCGGCTCTTTGTGATTTCAGCA